AAATCTAATTATAGGTGGATAATGTCTCAAGTGGGGAAAAATTATTAGGGTTTTGCCCTAATTTTACGTCTAAAATAATTGCTTGGACAAGAATATTTGCCTTGCTCACTGTCCTTAGTAAATTAAAACATTTGCATATTTTCAAAGGCAAGATTAGATTTTGCAAGCTTTGCATTTATTACAGCTGCAGCTAATACACTGCACAATTCCTATTAACGTTTTAATTCCTTTTTATGTTGATTATGACTATTAATAATAATGCCCACACTATTAAGTGCTTTATATCTGTAATCTCATTTAATTTCTTCTAAGACGCTATGAAGTATCTGTTATTATCTTCACTCTTCAGATATGGAAAATGAGGATGAGAGAGTTTTTTCAGTTACTGTCGACATTCAGTATCATATTAGTTCAGGTGTGCGGCATGGTGGTTGGACATTTACATAACGAACAAAGTGATCCCTTGGATAAGTCAAGTACCCTTCTGGCACCACGCAGAGTTACTACAACATTATTGACTGTATTTCCCATGCTCTACTTTATGATTTCATGTATATGTGGAATCTAAAGAATAAAACAAATGAACAAACAAAAAGAAACAAACTCACAGGTACAGAGAACAAACTGATAGTTACCAGATAGGAGAGGGGATGGGGACCTGGGTGAAATAGGTAAAGGGATTAAGATGTACGAATTGGCAGTTACAAAACAGTATCCAGGACTAGAGAGATTTTGAATAAACTTGTTCAAAGTCACACAGCTTGTAAACAGAAAAAGATCTGAACCGAGATCTACCTAAATGCAAAGCTCGTTAAAAGGTTATATTTCCTCATTTTAGCTTTATGTCATCCTCATGACATAAGAAAGGTTTTATTAGCCCCGTTTTAAAGATGAGGAAACAGATTTATCCAAAGTTTCAGTGACTTACCTAGAAGGCTGGGCACTAACCCTGCAACTCCATTCTACTCACCCCCATCCCATCATCTTCCTGGGGCACCAGAAACGACTCACAACAAGAGGGAACGCCAGAATGCTGTAATTAGCCTCGAGAATGGAGTGTAAGCAGGAGTGCGATCCATGCAGTTTAACATTTTTCTTTGTTACACATGTAGCGTTGCATCCAAGTATTAAAATAACCCTTTACCCAGTAGCGAATGCAGGTGGCTTGGAAATTTCACAGCCAAGCTGGAAATGACCTACACTTAAGAAACTCCTGTCCTGGACTCTCTCAAAGCCACATCATGCCAGAGATGGTTGGAACCTTGAGAATGCTCCCTTGAACACTTATCCACTTAAAACCAGCAGTTATGTTGGGATAGCTGATGACTCAGCAGACACCAAACCACTGGAATCCCTCTCCATGAGCCCTGTCCACTGTCAAGTTGCCTCCTTGGAGATTCACCTTCTCTGAACTTCTGCCGTCTTTGTTACTCACCCTGGTAAGTTGGGCAAAGTGTGTGTCTGGGCCCTGACACTCCTGCTTGCACAGAACTCTGAGAACTGCAGTTCTGCTGTAAGTTATCAGAAAGCTGCAGTATGATCCGTATAGTCCGATCCTCAGTTCCTCATGAGTAAAACAACATTAAAAAGCTTACTTGACTGCATTATGGAGAGTAAATGAGAAAATGAACAAAAAAAGCCTGCAGTGTGGTACATTGAAAGTAGTCAATAATTGTTAGCTAGCCAATGTTATATTACATTACATAGTTACTAATATAATAATATATTATTATATCAATCTTACTACTACTAATGAGGAGTTTAAATATATTGAATTTAATTAAGAAGAGTGTGATTAATCATACATGCAATTGGATGGTTTAAAAAAAAACAACCCTGAATTGGATCCTTTCTCAGCCAACCAATTATATAAAAAGGAAAAAGCCGAGGGGTAGAATTATTCACATAGTCACTCAGGGTCATGTTGTGCCTGCGAACATGAAGGGGTCGGGGAAAGCAGGCGAGGTCCGGGACCACCAACCTTCACAGATTAGACGGAGGAAAGGCTTGCTGAGACCTTTGCTCCTTTACTCTCAGAATCCTCACTTATTCAACTTTTCTATGCTACAAATTAAAAGTAATAAGGCTCAGAGAGGACCTGCCTTTCAGTAGATAAAACTAGAAAAATTATAGCTAAATTTACACGTACATGCAAATATAATACACATATACTTATTACTTGCATATGGATGCATACACACAAATATATGTGGATGTATATATATATATATTTATGAGTGCATATGTATGTGTGTATAGACATATATCAAAATCACAGCAATGCTTCTAATTCCAGTCCTCACCTCCCACCGCATGGGGTTCCTTCTTGCCCTTGCCCACCCGGATGTTGATGTCCCCTTCCCATGTGACAATCAACAGCACAAATACCTTTCTTCGCCTGCCCAATGCCACATCTAAAATAATTTCAGAATCGCCTAACACATCTACCACAAGATGAATAAGTTACATACACTGAAAAGAATTCAGGAGCTGGTTTCAATTCTCCCCACTCAACCTCACCCAGGGCAGAGGGTAAATCGTCAAACACTGCTGATAAGTTACTTGGATTTGTTCTTTCTTTTGCTTTTTCCTCTTAAGTGTGGTTGTAGTATTTATTTGAAATATAATTGGGTTCATTTGTTTTCAGTTTTAGACTTTTCTTTCTCTTCCCATCTTGCTTTAATTTTATTTTTGAAAATGTAGAACATTAACATGCTTCCAAAAGTTGTAATGATTCAAAAAATATATATTATTTCCAGGGAAGAGTCACTCCCTCTGAATCACTTTCATTCCCTTGCTCCAGTAAGTAATCAACTTCATTGTTTTCTAGTTTATCTTTCCTGTGTTTCTTTTGGTAATAATAGGCAGATATATGTATGTTTTATTTCCCCTGCTTTCTTACAAAAAAGACGGCATACTATATATTCTCTTTTGCACTTTCCATTTTTTAGTTACTATTTCCTAGAAATCATACTATACCAGTTTAGAGAAATTGCTCTCATTTTGTGTTGGGGTTTGCTTTATACAGCTACACAGTACTCCACTGTGGGCCCATGCCGTATTGTATTCAATCAATTTTCCTATGCTTGGGGATATAGGAGGTTTCCAATATTTTACAACTACAAATAATGCTGTAAAGCAAACTTTATGCATATGGATTTTCATATTTTTGGGGTGCATCTTCAGGGAAAATTCCCCAGAAGTAGGATTTCTGTGGGCAAGAGATAAATGCACATGTGGTTTTGTTAAATATTGCCACATTCTCCCCCATGGAGGCGTTACCATTTTGGCTGCCCGTCAGCTGTGGATGAAAGTGCCTGTGTCCTCCCAGCCTCATCAACAGGGTACATTGTCAAGCTTTCTAATGTTGCCAATCTGACAAACAAGACAGGACATCTCATTGTAGTTTTAATTTGCATTAATTTTACTATAAATGAAGGTGAACATCTTTCATGTAGTTAGGGTCATTTACGTGTCTCTTTCTGTATGAATTGCCTGCCCTGAATTTTATAATACACCTTCATACATGTTAGGGCTAGCCCCCCATCAGTGCTCTTTCTTTCTAGTGTTTTTCTAGCGAGTCTCGTGCACTTGTTTTTGCACATGAACTTCAACTTGTCTTACTCTTTTAAAATGTTCATGGGTTATTGTATTAGGGTTACATTAAATTTATAAATTAACTTACGGAGAACTGACACCTTGATCAAGTTGAGACATGCCAAGAACAAGACATGTTACTCCTTTTGCTCAAATTATAAATACATCTTAGCTCATTAAATAAAATAATATTTATTGAGCAGCTATGATGCCCCCCATGCTATAATGAGCACTATAGAAGTAAAAATGTAGGTTCTGTCCTCAGGCAGCTTAGAATTCCATGAGAAAAACAGACTAACACACCTAGGGCAATGCAAGCCATTCAAGACCCCAGGTAAGAAAGCTCTGCATTGCACAGCCAGACCACACATGCTCTGCAAGCTCAGAGGAAACGGAGAGAGATGAGGGCTAGAATTGCAAGAGAAGACTTTTGTCTGGTTTGAGATTGGAATCATGTGCCCCAAAGTTGTGTGGAATTTAGGTGGGGTGACAACAGAGAGAAAGGGGTCCCAGTGAGAGGCACCCAGGTGAAAGCTCAGATGTAGAACGAACGTGACATGTCTCACAGGACAGACTCTTAGCTGCAGGAGTGAGGAAACCACCACCCCTCCGCTCAAACCTCAGTTACATCTCAGTGCTAATAGCTCCCAGATCCTCATTATGTCCTCATTAAAAGTACTGAACCTCTACTAGGTTTCCAGATACTAGTCCTTGAGAATGGTCATTTCTGCACATCATTACCTTTTCAGGGAATGGTCTAGAGCTGTGCTATATCCAGTACAGTGGCTACTAGCCACATGTGGCTCTTGAGCCCTTATAATGTGGCCAGGGTCTCTGAGAAACTGAATTTCTCATTTTATTTTATTTTATTTCAATTTTAAAAGTGGAAGCAGTGGAAAATATTTTTCTGTTGAACCCAACTTCATTATTTGATGACACTGGTCCAGAGCCTTCCAGGTCAGTGTGGTCTGGTCGGTATCATGTGGGAGCCATCGTAGACCCGCAGAATCTGCTAGTTTACAAAGATGACACCCCCCTCCGCAGGTGATTCTTATGCACAGTCATAGAAACACTGAGCTAGATGACTCAGAAGACATTCAGGCCTCTGGTAGGTACTCTAGAGTGGCCCCTGTCTCTGTGGGGTTGGGGGAGCAGCAGGGTGATCCCTGCCTATCACTATGATGTCACAGAGAAACTCTTGTGTGTCAGCCAGCCCCGCCCCAACTGGTGTCCTAGCTGTAGGACATCCTTTCCATCGTCTCCAGCCCACCTCATACCACCTCACCCCTCTGCAGGCAAGAGGGGGCCTGATTCATCTTCACAGTAGATACTCATTCTACACACCAGTTAAAACAGAGCAGAGGAGAAGCTGAAACATCTTTGACTCAGAACTTCGAAAGTGAATGAGCAACCCCTCTCAACTGACTTAAGATGTTTGTCTCACCCAGAAGGTAGGTACCTTTATTTTTGAAGTCTCATGAGTAGCTTCTCTTTTCCATCTTCTTCTATTAAAGCTTCTATTTCTTCTTCCTTTACCTCTTCATCTTGCTTTTCCTTTCTGCTCCCAGGGCTTCTTAGTGCCCCTAGCTTTTCTTTATTTCCCTCCATCTGTATGATTCATGTTGCCAAAATCTGGCCCCTGCTGAAAGGCCCAATGGTGGTGACAACAAAAGAGATGTGTATCATTCTATTGAACTGAAAGAGTACATAGACATTAGATGCCCTGCCAGAGAATGGTGAGGCAGCCCCATGGTCCTGCTGGAAGCCAGCTCTGGCCTGGAATCTGCTGGAACAAAAAAGAAGAGCATGACCTTAGGCTCTTTTGGTCTCAGGGAATCTGAGAGAATCTGCAGAGAATCCTTCCAGACCCTGGAAGACCCCCACAGCCAGCAAAGATGTCTTGGCTTCTTTAGGGTAAAATCCACATCTAGAAGGGACTTGCCTCCCATTTGGAAAAGTTGGGAACTGCCAACCTTCAGCTCAAAGGACTCCTAAGAAAGCAAGAGTTTTCATTACTATTTGTCTTGCCTTTCTCAACAGACAAAAATTAAGCTTATGGTTAGCCAGAAACACACACACACACACACACACACACACACACACACACACACACACACGGCAGTCAGGGGTGTATGCTCTTCATTGGTTGGAAGTTAGGGATCTCAGAAGAAAGGATAAGACAGGACCTAAGAAAGGGACACTTTGGGGACTGCAGAGCAGAGCTAGTGATTCTAAAGAGCCATCAGAGTCTGGGCTCAGACGGCTCCTGGGCTCAGAAGCACCCAAAAGTGAATAGCTCATCAATAGAAGAACCCTCAACAGTGGATAGGAATTACAGAAAAAGCCAGCAAGAGTAAATTTTATTTTATTTACTATTAGTTTAGGAGGAGAAGCACAGAGGGAATATGAGAGAGTCTGTTATCAGTCTTGCTGTGAAGTGTAAAGTACACTAATCCATTGCCTCATTCTGTGTAAATTTCCATAATCTGGCCTGCAAAGCGACGTTTGATACGGTGCTATTGTGCCCTCGCGAGCGGCAGCCTGCGGTGAGTCAGGCAGATTTGCATATTGACTCCACCCTAGCATTGTGGTCTGGGCGAGTCAAACGCTCCGAATCTGATTCCTCCTGTCTAGAAGGAGAGTGACCACCCCTCTCCTTCTGGCTGGCTGAGCGGATTAAATGAGATGCTTGGGAACAGCCCAGCAAGGTGTCTCGTACAGAGTGTGGTTTCCTCCCCCATCTCGTAATTTACAGTCTCCTAATTTACTTCCAAGGACACAGTCCCTTAATGCGAAAAGTGACTAGAACTCGGATACGCTTAGGGATTCCTAAATTTGGTCCCCAAATTTAACCTGTTAGATCCACGAAGCGAGGCAAAGACAGCCTTGTTTTAGAACAGGAGCCAGGGACCTGTGCCTTTGGGGGAACCGTGGGAGCAGGGAAATGCCTGACATTGGGTTCCCCGACAGCACGGCACCTCCCAACCAGGAATTGATCTACGACCCAGTCTCCGCACTCCCTCCGCCAGGCCTCCCACTCGGCGCCCACTTGGCGGCGCCCTCGGCCACGCCCGCTTGCGTTCTTCGGCCCCACAGATCGTCCTCTCTCCAACGGGACCTCGCAGGTTTCCTCTGGGAGGGGCCTCGGGACGCGGTTTTCTTTAGACGCAGGAGGACGGAGAGGAAAAAAGGACCCCAGCTGCCCGCCCCGCCACGCTGGGGATGTCCTGGCACTGGGCGGCTTGGGCGAGGCGCAGCCAAACAGTTCAAAACACTCTCCCGGTGCGTCGCCGGGGTAACGCGCGCCCGTTGCTAGGCGATCCGGGCGCCGTAGTAAACCAAGTGCTGGTTGTTACTCATCCAGGAGGGGCGCCGAAGGGAGCCGGCGGGGACTTGGCTGGGCTCTGGCACCCCGAGCGGGAGGAGGGGAGAGCAGGAAAAGAAGGGATGAGGGCAGCTCACAAGAAATAAAAATGGGGCGGCCCAACCATGCCTGTGGGCAGCTGCGCCTTAGGCACCCCTCAAGAGGCCACTTGCGTTAAGCACCCCAGTCTCGTCCCGCCCGGTTCCCCAGGAGCCCGCAGTCCCAGCAGGCACCAAGGGCTCTGTCACCCGCGCGTGAGCGGTTGCCCCACAGGATGTACACAAGTGGCTGACCCTCTGATTTCACTCCAGCTGCTTGGGACATTGAAGAAAGGCGGCTTCCTCTACTGGAAATGACTACTAGAGCTGAAGTCCTCAAACAATTACATTAAAAGCGGAAAGGGAAAGGCGACAGAGAGGAGAGGCCTTAAAATGCTTTTCTTTGCTCCTTCCCACTGAACATTAGAGGTGTTCCCAGAACTTGGGACCCACGTTAGGAAGACAGGGGTCGTTTTTATTCCGTGAGCAGCTGAGATTAACCTGAAGCTGTGAGGTCCCAGAGCTGTGGCCAACAGTGATGTTAATGGGCATTTTGGTGGCATTACCTTTCCCTTCCAGGGTCAAAATGTCCAGTATGAAGACCCCCTGTTATCTTCATCAGTGAATGAGTCAAATATGAGGCATTGAAGTAAAAAATAATAATCATTAGAGCTGCAAAATCTCAGATGGTTCAATATACATCACCCATAAGGGCTCTAATCCGCAGGGAATCACTGAGCTTGGGAAAGAACAAAACATTTCCAATCCGTCACCAGCTTCTGAGCAATGTGTTTGTACCCTGGTCTCTGTGAACTACAGATAATGCTCGCTCATGAGATCATTGCTGTTTTCTGGGCTTTGGTCACCAAAAATCAGGAATGTTTCCACAGGTGGGAGGAAATGTGTTGGCAGAGCATCTGTGCGATGACACCAGGGGTGCCTCTGTGTAGAAAGGCAGAGGCTGTGTCTGGGGGACCTGTGGACCCTCCCTTTAGCTTCTCACTGCTGTTGTGCTTGTGAGTCGGGGATTTGTGTCTCCTTTAGCAATATGCAGCTGTTGGGACACTTTTCTTTATTCACATCTTATCTATACCTAATAGGCTCCCTTAACTGTATGCATGAGCCTCATTTCTATTAACAAACTTCACTCATTCATGTACATGAGACATAGCTAGATTTTAAGGGTCAATGAATGACACATGGCTGCTACTATATCTAGCTACTTGAAGTCAAGTGAGCATAACAGACAAGTAAACCATGCGATGAGTTACATGAGGCACACAGTGAGTGGCGCACGCAGGAGCAGAGGACAGGGGCGTGTAGATGAAATCCAGTGAGAGTATACACATTTACACTCCCCTCCAGCTTTTTATCTACTAAGTAACAGGACGGAATTAGTTCATGGGACATGGGTCAGAAATCTGACTCCTGGGAGAAGGGCAGAGAACGACTGCCCAGGAGGGCAAGTGAACCTTTCTTGGGAGAAGATGCCAGTATTGATATGTTGGGAAAAAAACCCACTGGATCCCTCAGCCCCAGGCTTTGACATTAGGGAAGCTGTGTGCTATACAATCTTTTCTGGCTCAGCATTCTTACCCATTGTTTTAATCACCTCTTATCTACAGTATACTTAAAAAAAAACACACAATAAATTTGAATTCCTGTTTACAAAGTATGTGTGAGTGTCCCAAGACCATTGTTTCTCTTTATGGATACCTATGAAATTTGGTCGTGTAGAGAAACAGTGCAGGGAACAGTGACTGAGAACCTGAGCAAAGATAGGTGGGTCCCAGCCCTCGGCTTTGTGATGTCATCAGTGTTGAGCTGCATGTCTATCCCTGTGGGATCATCCTGAGATGGTAACAGTCCAACCTACAGAAGTTAAATACTGTTTTGAGTTGTGGGATCTTCTTGTCTGTGCTGAGTCATGAGCTTCTGAGCTGAGCCTAATTATATTTATGTTGCATTGACTAGCAATTACTTCTTCTGTTCTAAGAGAGGAAAGAGAAGAAAAGAATATTAGCACGCCTAAATTACAATGAAAGGAAGTGAGTGGGATGCTGGGCTCTGATTTTTGTGGCCAGGCAGAGAAACGCATGTTTTGTCAAAAGAGGAAATTAGATGTTGTGGCCCAGGAGCCTTGGGGTGGCGATGAGGGGTGGAGGGTATGGTTCTCAAGATTGGTCACTATTAGTGGCCAGCCAGCCAGAGAGCCAAGCATGCACACAAAATGCACAGCCTCCTAAGGGGTAGATTCAGGCTCTGAGGAGGCCTAAAATAATATAATTTTGGATGTCTTCTTTAAGAAAAATAATACAAAATGACGAGTACAAATTATGTAATAGGGTCTTGGAAGGGGCCCGTGTAAGTGAGGGACAACGAAGCTGAAGTATCATTTGTTTTATCCTAAATCTACCTCTAGGTCTCCTCATGGAAGACTCTGCCATTTCCATCCCCCTTTCCCTGGAAAAGGCAAATTTCGGTATATGAAAGCAGAGGGGGTGCGGTCTATGAGCAGAGGCAATAAAAAACCAAAGACACAAGAGTCTGCCAAACAGTGACTCAGGCAGGATATGAGAGGTGTCTGCAAACATTTGAAGGGTGTCAGCCGAGAAAGGGGAAAAGAAATGTTCTGAGGTGGACAAGGAATGAGGGATACGATTAAGTACGTAAAAATGTGCACAGAATTCATCAGGAAACATTGGCTAGCTGTATTTTCTGATTTAGTGTTGTTGCATTTCCCGTGGGAAGCACTTCAGGGTCAATTGACTCACTGGAAACTGAAATTGGCCACAAAAATGTGCTACCAGGAAACAACCCCGAGTCCATTCTGAGCCCTGAATTCCATGAGGCTGACACGAGTGTTCTATAGATTAGGGCGTAGGGAGGAGGCCAGTGGAAGAAAAAGAGAACAATCCAGCAGGGTGGAGCCGCCACCTCCACCCACATTTGCTGACTGGTTGGGGAACACGTGACTAAGGAGGGAGCAGTCCGAGGCGAGGGTGCCACCCAGTGTTGGAATGAGTACTGCAGCCAGGAAGCCAGCGGCCAATTCCACCATGAACAGTAACCACGGGATTCCCGCTCCCTCATCCAAAGCAGAGGCGGTTCTGTCGACATGAATTAGGGGCCACTGGGTGATCGGGGAATCATGCCTGGGCACAAGCATATGTATGTCAGAGATGCTGTGAACATCAGTCTAAGAAGAACAGAGAAAATATTAGGTGATGGAAGTGAGATCCAGAGAGGCTCATTTGGCTAAAATAATAGATTAATTCAACCCCACTGAGGAGAGCCTGACTTTGATTTCCTAAACTAAGTGCACAAATATAGAATGGGAAACACCACGACTTGGATCGTGAATCTGGAAGAGGCAGGGGCAGTGCAGGGCAGGGAAGAGAGCATTTCATTCAATGTAAGTCCACAATGCGTCAAACAGGTTTTATTTTTACAGTATATTAATTCCCTGCTGATGTATTTTCCAGTCTGTTCAGCTTTTTATTGGTTGTTAGGTCCAAGTGGCGACTTCCAAGTCCCTTCCATGTGGAACCAGAACAAGAAGGCCGTCCCTGGATGTCTACTAGGAGTGTCCTAAAATTACAGATTTCTGGGCCTCACCCCAGAATTAACATGAAATCTCAGGATGGGGCCCTGGAATCTGTATTTTCCCAACATTTCCAAAACTGTTCCAATGCTTAGAATGCTGAACTACTGCTTTTGAATCAAGGAGAGGTCTCGGAGAATCTAACAATCAAGACAAGTGATTGTAATGGAATCTAGGAGGTGTTCTGAGAGGGGTGCAGTGTGACAAGGACAGAGAGGAGGGAACTGCTCTTAGGGAGAAAAGAAACTCTTTTGAGGAATGGGTGACTTTCACACTAGCCCTGAGGACAGGCAGACCACCAGGCGGAGAGAGAATAAAGACCTTCCCGGGCGGAAGGGCCCTGCAGAGGCACGGAGGCCAAGCATCCACAGGGTGTGGAGGAAAACGCACGCAGGTGCAGCCTGTCTCCCCGCACTTGTCCCGGCTGATTAGCACGGCTTTTGAGAACAGAATGAACAATTTGTACTTCTAGGTGACTGGCAGCAAGACTAGATGCAATCAATCCCCTTATTCATTTGTCAGATTATTTTTTTAAGTTTTAGAAACTCTTTTTAAAAATATAAAAATAAAAATTGTCATTCTTTTGCCTGAAGATCGGGAGAGAAGCAGCAGACAGCCATGGCATGGCTGACCCTGAACTGTACTCCTCTCCTACCTGACTCCACCTGCATCCTCACCCCCACCCCATCCAACACGCTGGCTGTCTCAGAGTTCCATGTGAAGGGACGAGATTAACAGTCCTTATTCAGGATGCTACCTGGAGGGGGAGACCACTGAAAACACAAGAAAGCTATTTCATATCCATGGGTTCTAGGAAGCCCTGACATTGCAGATAATAGAGCTTATTAAATGGAGAGAAAACCCTCCACAAGGGAACGGGAGCCTTTGTATTAATGCCGACCCTGTAATATTTATGTCTGCCATACAGTCAAGCCCACTGCATTCACACCAGTTACCTGGGAAATGGCAGGGAGATGGAAACTAAATCATCATTTACTTTTTAAACAAACTTCCCTCTGTGAATGCAGGTTCTTGCTCTTCTGTGATTAATCCCAAATCCACAGGCAAGCTCTCCTGTGTAATCTCCCAGAACAGCTGGGCCGTGACTATATTATCAATTATTAAATGCCTAAGTTCTCTGCAAGGCAGTGATTAATCATGAGGCACTCCAAAGGGAGGGAGAGAGAAAGAGAGAGAGAGAAGGGAGGAGTGGTAGGGTTGGAGGGTGAGGGTGGGAAGGCTAGTGTTCAATCTTCCAACATTAAACCAAAGAGATCTGGAGCCTAGACAGCGTTCTGCAGTCCTTCCAGACAAACTGCAAGACTTTGACCATGGCCAAGGTAACCAGCTTCCCCTGACTCTTTTAACAGGCATGCCTGTCTCATCAATTTGTTGTCTATGTTAAACCTGAGTTAATTACGAGTTTTTCTGTCAACCTATGTTGACGGAAGAATTAGTGACATTTTGGTACCTATGCACTTCCTAATGATCTGAACCCAAGGGTCAGGAAAGCCACTCTTTGTCCCTTTTCTAGAGTAGAATCATCTTGGCATGGGGCTTGTCAGCACATGCAAAGATATAACTTTTCTTATGGCTGCTACTTCTTCAAGATCACCTTAAGGAAACCACTGCAAAATTAGATTTGTTCTTCCAGTTCAAGAGGTATGTGGATTCTAGAGAGGAAAAAAGCATGGTTGGAGGGAGAAATAAAATATGTGATGAGGGGCATGGTACTACAGTGTTGAAGATAGTTCTTGAAAAGGATCTTGAATGGATTCCCATTCAATTATCAAGCTAATTCTCAAGTGAGGCTCCTTGTGTCTATCCTTAATGGAAACCCCTGGAAGTGACCTCTTTGGACTTCATTCCAAGCTCTTTGCACCCTTTGTTTCTTAAATCACTTGTTCCTTAAATTAGTTGTCACCTTGGTACAAGGAGTGGGGTTCATTATTCTTATTTCTGAAAAAAAAAAACAAAAAACTGCAGAACCTACAAGAGCGTGTAACTTGAAATAAACTGAGGGTAAAGTTAAAATCTGATGTGATGTGATGATAATAAACAAGTTTCCAAGCCATATAAGATTGAAAACAAAGTTGCTGGAAATGCAGAACTGCCTAAATCTTTAGACAAACTGATTAATGAAGATGTTTTACCTGGAAATTTATTTCCTGTTCAGGCAGTGGATGTGAAGATAATTAGAAGGTATAACTCATAGTAAAAGAATAATAACTAAAACCAATAGGATTTTCATAACTAAAAACAAGATGAAAACATTCTCTCTTTCTCTCTCTCTCTCTCTTTGGACAGGCCGACATATAACTTCCATATCTGGCAATATAAGATCTTTCTTCTTCCAGGTGCTGTGGTTTTTCCGTCCTTACCAACATCACCCAGAGTTTTGCACACTCTGACCATTCTTGGTAGATTTAATTTCTTTTGAATGCTTAAAAAACAAAGACCAAATTAGCAGACTGCTTTCCAGAGCATATTTCATATGTTGGTTTTTATATATACATGAATGTTGTGTATTTCTTATCGCCATAAAATAATCTGCACTTTGTCTGTAGCATGCACTGTTTTAGCCCTTGTAAAGTCTACACAACAAACTGTTACATTTCTAAGATAAAGTTCTCTGTTAAATGTAGAAAATGCTAAACTGGAAATGATGAGAGAGGCAGATTAATGGGCCTATCCCATTTAGCGATGGCTTTATTTATGTCTCTTAAGCTAAGCAGATTTGGGTCTGATTAATTCTGCTATGAGACATCCCCTGGAAAGCTCAAAACGGTTTACTTTAAGAAGCATCTGTCAGCAGCTAAGCGTGGGCTTCTTTTCCGTTCAGCATGTATTAACACAATGGTATAAACCACTCCATAACACAAAGTGCAAGACCTGTCAGATTTATTTTCCTAAACAAATCCGGCTCCAGCTCCACACTCTCCAAAGTTGAAACGTCTGATGTCGGTCATTTTTCAACCAGCCAATATCTTCTCTCAGACTAACAGTAACTAGGTGAGGGGCTCCAGCCAGAGCCACACGGACCACAGATCCTTCTGCTTCCACACGCGGTGTCCCAGCTGTGAGTCGGGTGTGGCTACTGCATTGAGCCATGGCAATGCCCTCTAGGTTCCCCTCCACCCATCAAGGTCACCTTTTGTGTGGCTCCGTGGCCACGACACTCGGTGTTCAGCTTCCGCGGGCACCACGCAGCCATCTCCTATTTGATTCGTACATCTGAACAGCAGTGGGTGAAAGCTGGTGCCCTTTCTGAGAGAGAGAACCACCTCCCTCAGAACCCACAGCTCCCTCGGCTCTCCAGGGCTTGCATGAGCCCCACATCCCAGACGGTCCACTGTTTCCTTTTATCCTCAAGGCCCCGAAGCCTCTATCTGCACCCCAGGCCTGTGGTCCAGCCCAACATGGACTGACAGGACATACCCCCTTCACTCCTCTCAGAGGATGCTATGATGCAGGGGTGAGGACACCGAAGGCTCGCTGCACCATCATAACACATAGCTCCGCAAGTCAGTACCTCCTAATGCAGACAAAACCAAAAATAGTTACGAGCAAGAGCATTTATAGTGCTCCCAGTACTTTTTCTCAACCTGATATATATACTAGCTTCAGTGGCTTAATCACTTTCTGACCAAGGTTATTATCCTATGCTGACTCAGACCATCCTCAGTAAGCATTTTAATATAACAAGCTCCAGCCACTCCTGCAGCCAAGCTTCCTACCACAGGGCTCCTTGGAGGAAACCCCCAGCGGCTGGGTGAGCCTGAGGTTAGGGAGCCACAGGGAGGGGTGTCTGGATCTCCAAGGCTCTGGAATCAGGCTCTCCCCTTGTTTGTCTGTTACAGATGGAGCTCCCGAAGGGCTTCTCTGGCCAACGGACATTCCTATCTGCCGTCCCCATCCTGCTATCACTCAGCCTCTCCACAGCATCCCTGCTCGGCAACTACTGGTTTGTGGGCACACAGAAGGTGCCCAAGCCCCTGTGCGGAAAAGGTCTGGCAACCAAGTGCCTTGATGTGCCAATGCCCTTGGATGGGGCCAGCAACAACACACCATCCCAGGAGGTGGTGCAATACAGCTGGGAGGCTGGGGATGACCGCTTCTCCTACCCCACCTTCCACAGTGCCATGTGGCTATCCTGTGAGGAAACTGTGGAAGAACCAGGTAGCCCCTTCCCCCCCACTCCCTCCCTCGCTGCCTGAATTTTCCCCCATGGGATCTTATGCAGACAAAGGACCAGGGGGACGTCTGTTGCTCTCCCGACACCCCACTGGCCTCACTCCAAGCTCAGCATCTGCCACCTCTCTACTGTGTCCCTCCTCCTTAGGACTCCCTTTTAATAAGATCAATAATCTACCTGGCTTTTCACTTCCTGCCCATCTAGTAGACTTTCTGGTTTAAAATAGTGTTACCTTTAAAGGGTTCCATTTAGACTTTCACCATTGTAAGACTTTCCATTCCAGCAAACCAGAATTGCTATTTAGAAACAAAACAAGGAGAGATGACTATTACAGAGAAAGCCCTGCGCTGCCCAGTTGTGACCTTATATGGATAGCCTCATTTCTACAGGCCTTGATTTTCCCATTAGTGAGATGGATCTGAGTAGGTCGCCCTTCCTCCTCCTCTTTGTCTCACAAAGTGTTTTCTCCCTCTAAGTACTACTGTGACAATTGTTAAAGGAGGGGAATGTGTCCTGTAAGGACACATTCCAGACGCTGAAGACAGACCCTCCCAGGGCTCCTGGGTCAGCATGCGTCCCCAGGGGAGGAGGGGCAGTTGGACTGAAGTCACCCTTCCCACTTCCTGTGCAAAGCATTAATGGGGCACGTGGTAGTGGAGTTTTTCTAAAGCACAATGTCATGGACAATTTGTGATCTGCTACTTCTCCTGGTATGGGCTAAGGGGAAAAGAAGATAAATGTGTGTGTATTTACACTAATATTGAGGTTATTACTGTGCCACTGAACACAGCTCCAACCCCAGTCCCTTAACAGTTTAGAGCCATCCAGACCAGTTGTACAGCGGCAGGAAATGGTATTGGTTAGCACTAGGAAACATCGTTGTCTTCATTATCAGGAACTGAAGAGAGAGAAATTAATCTTGGATGGCTCTTGTCTATACCCTTTACTCATCCACACATCCTTCACTGCTTTCAGAGGGACATGGACTGCCTGCCTGCCGACGCTGGGCAGGCACCGTGTCAGAGCAAACTGAACGGTGCTGGCCCTGGGCATGGGGCTGGGGAGAGACTTCCTCCCAATTTTCCAAGGAGGCGCCTCCAAGAAGCTGCCCCTTGTCTGTTTCAGGGGAGAGGTGCCGAGGTTTCACTGAACTCACACCACCAGCCAAGAGAGGTGAGAAAGGACTACTGGAATATGCCGCGTTGCAAGGCCCACATCACCCCACTGTCCGATTTGGAGGGAAGCGGTTAATGGAGAAGCCTTTCCTCCCCCACCCTCCCTTGGGGCTTGTGGCAAGTATGTGGGTTTCATAACAAATCTAGTTGTCATTGAGTTTGGGGGCTTCTCTGCATCTAAATTGTGCTTCGATCTCCAGCTTTTCTCCTCTTCCAGCCCCATGGGTGACACAGACTCCTTCTAGAGCTGACTTTCATTCATATGCAGGAATGCAAAAACAGGAACAGCCGTGACAAATACGCTCACAAATAGAAAACCACTGCAGCTCTAGCCTACTCTTGTTGCCAAGTAACGAAGTTGAAAGCTTAGGTTTTTCCTTTTTTTCCTCCAATAATTTTTTTTTTAACAGAAGGAAGAAGGGGAGGGAGGAAGGGGGACAGGAAGGAGGGAGGGAACAAAACTGTCCAAAATTAAGTAAGAAAAAAAAAGAAATAAAAATGAAAAATAGCAAAGCTATATTATTACAAGATTCAGATGACTTCTCAGATCTCTCCACAGTCCACAGTAGTCAAGTTTACTTGATTATACGTTGGATACCGGGCAGAGTGAGAGCGGTGGGGTGATAGCAAAGACCCCAAATGAAGGAACATTCCCACCTGGTTTCGGGTCTCATCCTCCCCTTCTCTGCTGCTGCGAGGCTTTCCTCTTCTAACAGGCAGTATCTAACGTCTCCTCTCACTGTTCACCCACCGTTCCAGTTACCTGACTGGCAGGGTGACGGAGCTTCTCCCTCCGGTTTCTGACAGAGATCCTGTGGTTTTCGCTGGGAGCCCAGTTCGCCTACATCGGACTTGAACTCATCAGTTTCCTCCTGCTACTAACGAACTTGCTGTTCCCTGGGAACCCTGGCTGTGGGCTCAAGCTGAGTGCCTTCGCAGCTATTTCCTCTGTCCTGTCAGGTAAGCGCCCCCAAAGCTGGGGAGGTGGGTGTCCCCCGCTGCCTCTGAAGCACTAGCTGGCGGGCTGCAGTCTGCCCCACCCCCGCCAGGGGAGGAAGGAGGAGCCCGAAGGCAGCACAAATGATGGAGAAATGAGATACATTGCAGGCACCTTTCATTTTTAATTGAGCTAACATGTGGAATGTTGTATTGGATCATTATGTACTTTATGCAGTGGAATTTTTTTATTTGCAAATTTTCTCAATGTGTAAATTAGTTTGGATTACTTTTCAATTGTGACATACACACAGCTTTTCAAGACTGCTGGCTAAAGAGAAACATATATAGCATCAAGAATAAAGCTCTCAGTAGGGGTGTGAGTGGGAAGAAGTACAGGCCCTGAGTGCAGCATTGACTCACACCTTCTGCATAGCTCTAAACCTAAAGTCTGGGGCGTGCTGGTGCAAAGATCCACACTCAGAAAGTCCCCATTACAGACCAGTCTTCCTGGAAATGTGGCGGCACAGGGTGATGATGGGCACAGGCTGCACCGGACACAAAAGGAGGAGGTCGCTCTGAAACCACGTTCCCTGCAGATGGCAACGTCAGCCTTTCTCTGAGGGTGTTGCCTTCCTGTTCCCCCTGTAGGCCTTCTGGGGACAGTGGCCCATATGACGTATTCACAAGTCTTCCAGGCAACCACCAACTTGGGTCCAGAAGACTGGAGGCCACATGCTAGGAATTATGGCTGGGCCTTCTAGTAAGTGCCTAACCTTCTCCTGAAACTTTGACCCCTCCTCCAGCCAACCTTCATTAGATTTGCTTCCTCAAGTAGTCAGTTACTTTGTTTCCTTGGCCTCCTCTTCATCCCTCCTCCCAGAAGCCTGTCAGTCAGAGGGCTGGACCACGGGGCCACACCCACTCTTCCCCCACCTTCTGCGGGGGGTACAGAGAGGGCCCCTCTACCTTGTTGTGTGAGGCCACTGTCCAGCTGGTTTCTGCTGGTACAACTGCAGCAATTGCTTCTTGACCTGATGAAGCATGTTGCCCGTGGGAAATGAAACTGATTTTGTATGGCTTGTGAAAATGATACCTTATATTTTGAATATTTTATGATTCCAGGTATTGGAGGACAGAGAAATGGAGAATTAGTCTTGAAATTTGGGTTGAATTCTGTTCCCTGTGAATGGCTTACTCTTCTCCTATAATGATGAGTAACTCTACCTACCTCCATTCTTATTCTGCCCAACTGTGCTATAAATAAAACTTCCCCTACAGTCATTCTCTACCCCTTAAAAAACTAAGGAGTCAGTGATTTTAGATTTCTCTTTAAAAAGGAAAAGCAGCAACTATGACAAAACAACTAGAGTCAAGGTAAATGTCCCCTTGCTTAAAAGTTTCTCACTTTCTCCCTTGAAGAATACCCTATTCAACGCACAGGTGCAACTTGAACTTACATTAACTATCTGGGTAAGTGCTAAGTGCTGTAACAGTACGGAAAAGACACAGCCCCAGGCTGGCGTCTCTATGCTACAGTAGGCAACATGGGCAGCTCTGCATGTCTGTTACAAGATCCTGTCCCTTTTCTCATGATATAGTCCGTTCCATCTGACCCAGGAGTCTCTGATCTACAACTCTAGCCACCACATCGGTTTGGCTCATTTCCCAGACCCATCGTTCCTCACCTTTTGCTTGTCTTCAAGCCATCCTTGGCGTTACAACTATGGAGCTCAGGCTCGGAACTCCCATCAGAAGCCTCCCCAGACTGAGTCTACTCAGTCTGTCAGAGGCAGCGGACAGGAGCATGCACCAGCACGTGGTCTGGCTTTAACCATCGTCTGGCCTCATGGAATCCCTCACAGCGTCCAGTTCCCTGTCCCACCCAGAATCATGGGGAGATTTAGGGGTTTGACTTGTTAGGTGTAGGTGTTTAGGACTGTGTTTGATGAAGTTCCCTAATGTCTTTTCTTCTTAATCCTTTAATCTCCTCTTAATCTCCAGCTTCACTTCCATCCATTACAAACTCCCTTAAGCCGAGAACCATACTGTTTTCATAACAAATTCCACTAGTGCAACCTCTAGTACCTTCAGATTTGCAGTGAGCACTCCCTGAATGGCCCTCAGAGACGCACCTTTGTGGGCCCTCAAAACTGCTAAACTCAAAGCAAGGGAAGATGGAGGAGAAACGATCACTCCAGCACCTGAGTGAAGAAAGCTCTGTGGCAGGGTGTGGTGGGGGGAGACGGAAGAGGAAGGTATCACACTGGGCCAAGTCCACTGTATACAGCCAAGCTACAGGTTTACATCAAAAAAGAGGCACACCAAGCATAAAGAGCACAGCAATAACAAGTACGCAATTCAGTGAAAATGAATCTGTCAAACCTCTAGTCTGACTTAAACACTACACGCTTCATTCTCTTTCGCCACGAGACATCCAGAGTGCACCCTGCTAAGGACGATGGACTCGGGCCTCTTGCCCACAGTTCTCTCCCCGCAGCGCAGTGGAAGGACCCTGGATCCTTAGGAGGCACCAGCCTAGTTTACTAGTGGGAAGGAATCATGGTATTTTTCTTTCTTTCTTTTATATAGCAATACATGTATACACTTTATTTTTTATTAAATCTTTATTGTATTTTTTCCATTACCATTTAGTCCCTATACCCTCTCCTCCCAGCAATCACCACACTGTTGTCCGTGTCCACACCCCCAATAGCTGTCAATCTGCTCTCTATGAGTCTGTCTCTATTTTGCTTGTTAGTTCAGTTCACTAGATTCCACATGAGTGAAATCATATGGTATTTGTCTTTCTCTGACTGGAGAACATTATGTCACTTAGCATAATGTTCTCCAGGTCCATCCATACTGTCGCAAAGGGTAAATTTTTTCTTTTTTTATAGCCAAGTGGTATTCCATTGTGTAAATTCCCCATAGTTGTTTTGTCCACCTAATTTTTCTGTATGTTTGTCCCTAGCATGGCCTGGGTTTCCTTCACCTGCTGCATGGCATCAGCTATTATCACTTCCAACACATACACCAAGCTGGTGCTGGAGTTCAAGTGCAAGCATAGTGAGAGCTTCCAAGGAAACCTGAGTTACCTGCCGCTTCACCACCAGTGCTTCCTCCAATAAACGTCAGGCGCAGCCCACCCTGGGGGCCCATTGCCCAGCTACCACCAGCACCACAATCAGCCCATCCACTCTGTCTCTGAAGGGGTTGACTTCTATGCGGAGCTACAGAACAAGAGATTCCAACAAGGCACCAGCCAGGGGTTAAAAGAAGAGCTGGCTGGGTCATCTGTACAAGAACAGTGTTAGGAGTAAGTGGGCTTGGAGAGCAGGCTGAGCCCAACCTTACATGTTTGTTATCAACACGTGAGCAAGCCAAAGTCTGTTGCTTGAGAATGGTTTTTAGAGGTTAAGAACAAGGGTATGTTCAAGTATAAGTTCAAGGGGCAGGGTGGGGCGGGGGACTGGCAGCTGGGTCCCACTGCTCCCTTTCCTCTTATAGTTCTGTCACCTTTCACCACCCGCCTTATCTCACACACTCACTTCTCTCCTTTACTGATTGTTATGTGCCGGTTCTCTGCTGAGCAACGGGGACAAAATGAGCAGTAAAATGCAGCTCTCACTGTCTAGGGGCTTGCCACTCTGGTCACCTGTCTGGGACTTGGAGAAATGGAGGTGGGCAGATCAGCGGTCAGTGACCGTGGCTTGGTTTCCCAGGGTGCACTGGAGTTTCCTGGGAGTCACAGAAGGGGAGACAAAGGTGCTCCTAGGAGCTTTGACATGTTCAACGGATGTCCCTCACCCTGTCTATTACACTTTCTGCATACACACAGTGGACACCCGATAAAAGTTTAATTAAATATTATCCTAGAAGCCATTAGGAGATGTACAGAGATGAAAAGTCTCCCACCGCATGCAGAGACAGGCCCACTTCCAGGAATGGCCTGCTGAGGCTATTTGGACAGGACTATGGCTCCCCAGTGGAGAGCCACACAGAAGACGTCTCCAGGGAACGAGGCCGCAGCATACGCCCCCTCTGGATCCCCCCCTTCTCACCCATCTACAAGGGAAACAAACCATCCTTCACAGCTAGGAAGAATGAGAATGGCACACACGTGTTCCCATACACAGTATTTATTTGTTCTGTAACAATTCACATTTTAAATAGTGCTTCCTGACAATATACCAGCTGGCTCTTTAACAGGGGCAATAAGGATAGCAATTCACATTCAAGGGGTTGGTATCACCATACCACGCTAGAAGGGAGAGTAGAGACCATCTGGGGGATGAGGAGGATGTGGTCTAGGGTAGAGGGGAGGATCTGTGAGGGAAGAAAAGAGAAGAGATTGGGAGGAGAAAGACTCCTGCACTTGCAGAAGTCATTGCTACTTCTAGGTAGTTGTCACATGGGCTATGCTGGCAAAGCCATGTTGGGAATGAAGAAAGAAACCTTGGTGGGCGGTTCCCAGCGAGGAAAAGGAAGTTGAGAGATACAATGGACAAGAGACCAGTACCTGCACTGGTCAGATGGAGCTTCCCCAATCTTTGCCACCATTTCCACCCTCTGCACTCACTGCAAGAGGAAGAAGACACCTAGAGCTTGTACTCTGTTTAGCAAAGAGAGTCAAATGTATCACAGTCAAAATAATCCAGGTGAAGTTAGTTTGCAGATACACCATGAAGAATTTAAGGACTTTATGTTTTTTTAGCTTCCTCCACGTGTTTCTGAGACTCACCCAGCATAAATACAGTCTTCTGCCCGAAACAATCCCCCCAGATCAGGTCCTCAGGAAACACCTTCGCATTTTACTCCTGCCTCAAGTGGCTGCCTTCCCAGAAAGCCTCAACATGGTGGAGAATCAAGTTTAGGCCTAGAGGGCTTGGCCCAGGCCACAGGACCACCACCCACGTTTTAGCTATTCAGTCTACTATAAATTAGTCTTTAGAATCCTCTGCTAGACCGCACTAGATCCTAGGCTCCTCTACCCAGGTAGATGCAAACCCTGGAAGTCCGTCTGGAATCATCCCCACACTCCAGGGTATGCTATAAATGGCCCCAAGTTTACAATAGGTTGACCTACACGTGACCTCCAAAATGTTAAAACCAAATCTGCTTTCACAGGCGTACGGCAGCAAGGTGTCCAGGAAGCTGGCAAGGCCAACCTGCAGGCCGGGCTAGTGCCTGGGGGGAGTTTTGCTACCAACCTTCAGTTATGTTACAATGCCTACCAGAGGGGCAACATTTATATCCCTTGAATTTAGGGTCCCTAATTTTCTGGAATCTCTACATTTTCTGGAATTCCTTTATGAACATAAGCTAAGCAGATACAGGCTCTAATAAAGAGAGAACCTGAGTTGCACTCAGCAATGACCTATCCACATCATTCAAGAAGGAAAGCAGCTCTTCTGCAGCTAACGTGGGGTCTTCTGCTGAATAAACAATGACCTAGGAGTTTGGGAGAGAAACTGATAGAAGTTATATATTTACAGAGGAGAAGGGAGAATCACTGGAGAAAATTCTATAAGAACTTAACCAATTATAAAAGTTATAGTATTTACATAGGAGGTTCTCCTCAAAATACAGTGCTTCAAAGGCTCTACAAGAAAGGAGATGTGCAGGGCACGCTGGCTGCATACCGGACTCAAGAGCAAGAACAAAAGTCCAAAAACAGCTTTGCTCTCATGCAAACAAAGCAAAAATATCCCTGATTAAAAGAGCAAAAGAGAAGCAGTAAGGAGAACACCTGGCAGAGATGCTAAGAAAGCAGAGTAGCGATGGAGCAGAGAGAAGATCTGCCTCCGTTGTTCCTGACCTCGGTTTTCCTCTGAGCTGAGCACAGCGTACACATTCACCGCAATAAAAAAGATCATGACCAGCAGAACAATCCAAACCACATGGTGACATGTGGACCTCATCCCTGCCCTCCTTCCGACAGGAATATGGTTACTGTATGGTCACTAAATATGTGAGCATGGAAGTGTGAGGCGGCAGGACACAAGGCAAGGAAGGGGTGAAAATGCTTAGCCGGCTGGCGCGGTCTCCCACTGTCAGTGTTGCTCTCTGCTGCGAAGGCTGGGAAGGAGCCGAGGAACAGACGGCGAGAGATAAGGAGAGAAATGATGAGTGGCCCTAAAAATCAGCTGTGGGCCATCTGGAAGCCTTAAGGTGACCACACAAACCAGATGTATTTTAGGACAAGAAACTGGGTCCCTGGAGCTTAGGACACATCTAGAAAACATTTCATCACAACACTGAAAAAATACACGCATGGCATAATACAAAACAAAATGTTCCAGTGAAGTTCTTCACTAGACTTTCCCAAAAGAGTTTATAAATTAGACATACAAAAAAATAAAACATAAGATTCACATTTCCAAGTTATCTACAGAGTACCTGATTGGGGGGGGCGGTTAATGCACATACTGAAAAAGTAGGTCAAGTACCCCAACCAAATGGCTCGCGCCGTAATCAAAGAGCTCCAGCGTGCCTTCCGCAGTGCTCTGCGGCAGCCGCAGAGGGGGTGAGGTGAGGATGCAGACATCTTCCTTCTCTCCAAAGAACCGATTTTGTACTCACAGCGGAGGGACATTATCCATTCTGTTCACTCCGTCTCCAACTGAAGACTCCATCAGACTAGACCTAGGCAGAAAGGTGAGAGTATCAGGCAGTGACTTTAATCTTTTTCACGGTAGGGAAGTGGAGGAAGCCTCTATTTTCCTGTCCTTTTTGTAGCTGCAATAGCTCATAAGAGGCCCCCCAGGAAGGCCCAGAAACTTCATATTTTTCCATGACTACCTCTTGAATACTGAACTAGACCACAGTACTTGGGGAAAAGAGGGGCTTTAGCATTTTGAGCAAGATAATTCTATGCAACCGCCCCAAGCCCCACATGTCAGCATCACTAGCCCCTGCTCAGAAAATGGCAGTAGTATCCACCCCTTTAGTCCCGGGTGCGATGAAAACCATGACCCCACCTTTCCAATGTCCCCTAAGGGAGACAGCACCACATTTCCAGCTGAAAGGAACTGAGTACTGTTTCTCAGTGGTGATGCAGCACCCTTAGAAAATAGCGCCAGTCCTAAACAACTGGTTCTTGATATGTGGCTACTCAAAAAGGCTTTCTCTCTCTCTCTCTTCTAAAGAACAATGTTGGAGTTGGTAGAATTTGTCATAAACCCTCAATAGTAACCAAATATTTGTGTCAGAGCTATTCACCTGTGAGGGAGAATCAACAAACTTGATTCGAGAGAGGAATCTTCGCAGCTCCCCACGGCCAATTTTGGGGGTGGTCTCCTTTAGCTGGACCATCTGGCCCTCCATCAGTGCCCACCGTAGACTAAGCTTGCTGACCACCAGGGGTGCTGGGTGGCCTTTGGAGCTTGGCCCCGTTGTCCTGGTAACATAAAAGGCATCTTTCCAGAGGTCGTTAATTCCAACTGAGGAAGGACAAAAACAAGAACAGCTAATAAGGACAGAAGACTTCCACTAACAGTACAGTGGTTTGGTTCAGCAACTAGATTCATTAGTTCATTTACTCCTTCATAATTCATATAAGAAGTTTACTGAGCACCCAACAGATGCAAGGCACTGAGCTCAACTGTCGGTGCACGGCGGTGAAGGACTGGGTGCCAGCATAGCAGTGCATTCTTCTGGGTCTTTGTACCATTTCTTCTCTGAAGCTGTTTCTAAGAAAGCTCCAGATCAGGAAGCCAGAGGCTATGCCAGCTATGGTGACAAGTGGGCACGACTAGAATTTCTAGACTGTCGGTATGTGGTCACATAGGCTGTTACCCTAGTGTTTATTTTGCCTCATCTTTAAAACAGGTGTTGTAATAAAAACGGTCTTGATTCTTAATTACCACTATTAAATGTTCACCAAATGACAATATTTTATGCTGATATTGAATAGTTCATTTAGACCCAATCACGGGGCTCTGCAAGCTGACATCCCTGGCCCCGCACCGCACACAAAGCCAGTGGGTAGGCGTGCTACATGTTCCCAAAAAACTGAGAAAGCATTAGCTTCAACTTTAAGGCAAATAAGTTTGTAAGGAGAGAGCAAGTCTTTGAATGGCAAGAGAATGTGGAAAGATGAAAAGGACCATGCTGGTCTGGTGTTCCCCAAACTCTCCCGGCAGGAACAGCAGATCCCCACGGCCAGCCTGAGGCAAAGCACCTGTGAGGCCGGGCCCACCGGACACTTCCCACCTAGCAGGCAGCAGTGGCTGAGTTCCCAGGGTTTCAGGTTTCCAGAATTACAAGGTCCCTAATACAGGATCCCAACTTTGCTATGTGGTATTTTTTAGAT